GGTGCTCTGGAGGCTCAACAAGCAGGACACGAGGAGAGATTTGGATTGAGCCAGCCTCCAGACCCAGCTCTCGCCATCAGAGAAGCCAGCTCATGGCTTCCCTGCCTGCAAAACACCAACAAACTGCACGAGTTCGGTTGAAGCACAGCCGGTTCTCGGCGCAACTGGCAGCACTGGGTGGCTCGTGTTCCTCCTGTTTGTGCCAAGCTCCGACTGGGCTCGGAGCGGACACTGGAGTGGTAGGAACAGCCCCGAGACTGAGCATCGTCTCACGTGCTTTTAAGTCATGTTAAGGGCCCCAAAAGTGTAAAACATTGAGCTGTAAAAATTGCAAACTTCAAGCGAGGGACTGAGCATCCTCCTCTCCCAGCCAGCCCAGCACTGAGCGCGCCGAGAGGCCGACGGAGGGAACCAGCACTCCCAGTACCAGCCACAGGAACAGCACGACAGGGAGATACAGACCTTGCGTTGCTTGGCGGGGGGTGTGAGCTTGGGATGGTCAGCTCGGGACTGAAAGGAGGGAAAAAAAAAAGAGGATAAAGGAGCCAGCCAGGCGCTCTGCACTTCAGTGAGGCCTGCTGGTACACTCTGAGCCCCAGGCTGAATTGCTTTGTCACTTTAATAACTTTACTACTGGCATTTGTGTTTGAATCATCTTCAGGTATGAAACAGCCTCGTTTCTCCTGGTAGTTTGCAAGAAGCACCTTCTAATCCAGCCTGTGAACCCCGACCAGGCAGCAGAATTGCAGTTCAGCATCTGATTAACATTAATAAATATGGTAATGACGGAATTGGTACCACAGAATCGCAGCACAGCCCAGGTTGGAAGGGACCTTGTGAGAGCACCTGGTGGGAAGGGAGCCCAGATGAGGTGGGCTCGCACTGGGTCCGGTCACCTCCTGAAAACCCCCCAGCTGGGGACTCCACCACCTCCCTGGGGAGGTTGTTCAGTGATTAATAGTTCTCACCGTAAAAAAATTCCTCCCTCGCCTCGAGATGAAACCTCTCCCGGTGCAGCTGGTACCTGCTGCCCCTCAGCTCCTTCACAGGGGCCAAAGCCCACGCTCCGTCCCGAGCCATCAGCCGGCTCGTGCGGCTTTGGTCAGCACCAGAACAAGTGGCCTAATTGTTTTTCACTGTTCTCAAGGAAAAGCAGTGATCAGAGATGGAAAGGGAGCCACGAGGTGTTATTTCCAGTCTCCTCCAGCTGAAGGCAGCCCTCACTGTGCTTGTTATACTGAGAAACGTTTCAAAGCGAAGAAAAAAGCCTAGAAATGCTCCAGTATAAAGAGTTTGCTCATACAGAGGTTTAACCCGGTTATCTCCCAGAGGGACCCAGAGATTTGATGCCTTACACATCTCAAGACACAGATTTCACATGAAGTCGTGGGGCAAAGTTTATTAGACAAGACTTATCTCCTGCTCAAGACCCTTCCAGCCGCGCGAAGGAGCTTGGCAACGCCAAGCTGACACCACAGCGAGGTAAACCAACGTCCTCATCACTGGTCGTTTTCATAGTCCGCCGGGTTCTTCCTCTTCAGTCTCTCAAACTCCTGCATCCCCCAGGAATAAAGGAGATAGCCCGCCACAAAGGCTGCAAGGGAAAGGCCACACTCACAAGCCGCCCAGCCTCAAACACCCCCAACTTCCCTGGGTTTCTGTGACAACGCCACCATGACACAGACCCCCTCCCTTTGGGCCTCCCCAGCCCCAAAATGCCGGCGGCGAGGCCTCCCT